TTACTTAAGTCGAACAATTACTACGGCTGGTATGTCCGTCCTCTCTGCAGATGTCGCGGGCCAGTTTCTGGACCTAATCCATAGGTCGTTCGAAGACAGATGCGGCTGTGCAAAGCGAATGCGACAGCAACCACAACCCCGATCAGGCTAGGAGGCAATATCACACCTAAAGGGCACTTCTGGCATGTGATCCGATTCCTGTATTTGCCTTTACCCTAGCTGATCCTTGCTCGCAGTGTCTCCAGTCCTTGACCAACACTCCGAAGCCCCCCACCTTTCACTACACAAACTCATCAAAGGCCCTGGCATCTTTGGGCCAGGTGGCGCTCCACATCCTCTGCGTCGCAGGGTTTAGGGTTCAAAATTCTGGGCTGTGGGCGTTGATGCTTGTTCAAGCCGGGGCAGATTTCCGGGCAGGGCGCCAGACGCAAGATAGTTCGGAATTATTGAGCTCGACTTCCACTTGTGAGTACCCTCGGCATGAGCCACTTGCAGCAGTTTTCGAGGAAACCAGGTGCGGCTACCCCAGCGTCGCACAATAGAAGCATGGTACCTGAATCCCTTGCGCCAAGTCCCACACCCTGAACAGCACAACAAAGCCAAGCGTCAGGGTCTGTCGGTCTGGTCGTACCTCCAAAGCTTGGCGGTGGCTGGAATTCTTCAGCTAAAGCTCTTGGAGTCGAGAACATGTCACAGTGCTGCAGCTGAGGACTACGCCGGTGCTGGCGCCCCCCCCCCCCGCCCCCAACAAAACCCGCAAACACCCGTGTGAACCAGTAGCTGCAGTCAGCTAACAACCACGAGAACAATTAGCTTCAAGTGTCGGAAATTGTTGGGATCTTGCCGCCGGCCTGGGTGCAAATCTTCCGGACCTGGGGCTCGAAGCCCATGTCCAGCATGCGATCGGCCTTGATTGGGTGAGGTCTTAGAAGTCTTACTGAAGCTATGGACCGTGATGTTGAGAGACTTGGGTGATGCTCCGGCACCCGGTGATTCGCTGGGGGTCCTTCTGGGCCTGTGGAGGTGGGACTTCCGATTCGAACACGAATCCACCGGGTTGGAAGGCGATCAAATCCGAGCAAAAGGCCGGAAGAAAGTGAACTCTTAGTGGGATGAGAACGGCCCGGCTCGCAGGCCTCGTCTAGGACCAGGTACGTGACTCGCTTGAGGTTCGTGTCACCTGCCACTGTCTGCTGCAAATCCTCTTGAGACGAGCATCACAACCAGGGGCGCTTCCTTGTGCCGCCGCGGATTGCCATGGTGTTTTGTGAAACACCCCCATCTGGTAAGCCTTTTGTCCGTCCAACAGCCCAGACATCCTGAAGCCCTGCATCTCCAACCATTCCGACGGAAATCTCGCAGGGACGGCCGCTACCCAGAAAGTCGATCAGCCGCCCTGGGGTGGCGATCACGATCTCGACCTAAGGAGCTCCCACATTCGGGCATGCTCTGATATCTGCTTCCCAACATGTCTGCATTCTGCACTCGCTTTTGCACACTCTAGCCTGCTACCTACTTCCAGCGTAGAAGCCGGCAAGTTGGATCATGGGCTCAAGAAGGTTTTGGGTTCGGGTTGATAATTAGCGCCGTTCCGACTCTGCTGCTTCCCCTGCAGTATGGCTTCTAAATGTGAACTTCATGACCACGGTCTTCCTTCTCACTTCCGGGAAAGCTCATCAGAGTTGAAGAAGCTGAGGGCAATGCTCCGTCGCGGAGATCCTTTTGCTGAGGACCTCGTGGCACCCCGCCGTAACCTTTCAATGCAACAGCAGGTATTCCACTTGTGATGTGTGACGTTGTCAGGGTGGCCTGACACTCCAAGTCCCATCAGACAACCGTCGGATGGCAAGCGGATGACATCAAGTGGTGCGATGACGTTTCTATGCGGAACAATGAGACGGTGCTATGAGAGATCAACATGCCGGTGCTGCAGCAGGTGTTCTTGATCTGCGAACTCTTCCCGAATCGATTGCTCTCCTCCTGCAGCCCAGCACTTGCTGCCCCAATGTCAGAAGAATAGACTAACAGTTACTGAGACATGCTATGACATCCTTGTACGCATGAGAATTTCTGCACTGCTCTCCTGGATCTGGACTGCCAGCTCTCGTGTGGGAGCGAGCACCAGTACAATCGGACCATCACCCCTTTGGAGGAATGGCTGGGCCTCAGCGACATGAGCCACTACTCCCACTTTTGATTCTCTTGCCGACGTCGTGGTGGCGGTGGTGCTGGTGGTACTGGCGGTGGTGGTGGTGCTGGTGGTGGCAGTGGTGGTGGTATCGTGGCAGTGGTAGTGGTATAGCGGTAGTAATAGCGGTAGCGGTATGCGCGGTGGTGGTGGTGGTGGTGGTGGTGGTGGTGGTGGTGGTGGTGGTGGTGGTGGTGGCGGCGGCGGGGGGGGTGGTGGTGGTGGTGGTGTTCGTGGTGGTGGTGGTGGTGGTGGTGGTGGTGGTGGTGGTGGTGGTGGTGGCGGTGGTGGTGCTGCTGCTGCTGCTGCTGCTGCTGCTGGTGCTGCCGTTGCTGTCAGTGTTGTTGCT